AAAAAAGAAAAGAAAACAGCACCGTGTGCAGTGGCTCACACCTGTAATCCTAGCACTTTGGGAGGCTGAGGCGGGTGGATCACAAGGTCAGGAGTTCAAGACCAGCCTGGCCAATATGGTGAAACCCCGTCTCTACTAAAAATACAAAAATTAGCTGGGCATGGTGGCACATGCCTGTAGTCCCAGCTACTCAGGAGGCTGAGGCAGAAGGTTGCAGTGGTTGAGGCAGAGGTTGCAGTGAGCCGGGATCACGCCGCTGCACTCCAGCCTGGGCAACAGAGCAAGACTCCATCTCAAAAAAAAAAAGAAAAGAAAACAGCACTGTGGGATTGTCATGTGCATGACATGGTCAGCTGGGTTCTCTGGTGGTCACTCCCTTCCCAAAGGCAAGGCCTTGCTGTGGTTGGGTCATTAAAGGCCAGGTGGCAGTTATTTTTTCAGGGTTCTAAATGACATCCTAGGGGCTGTGAAAGAGCTACAGCTCCCCAGGGAGCTCCTTCTCCCTGCCCCAGTGGGCAGCACGACCCTCTTCCAACTGTCAATTACACAAGCATATTCCCCCACACAGCCATCTTTGCACCATTGCCATTTATTCATTGTATCATAGATCTAATCAGCCTTTACACCCTAACCTAAGACCCACATGAGGTGCGTGCCCTTCACCCTTCTCTCTTCCTCAGCCTACTAGGGGCTTATGAGTTGCAGGGACTCCAAGTCAACCTTCACATTTACATTCTGCCCTACATCTGCATTCCTCTGTCCTCCATTCTCGGGTTATATCCGTGCACACTAGAGAGGCAGAGTGACGTGGACGTCAGCACGGATGTGTGTGGCGTTGGGCAGTGAGCGCCACTGCTCTGGCCCCAACCTCTTCTCTGTGAGAAGGCACAATAGTATTCAATAACTATCAACTATGTTTTTAAGTCACTTAAGGAAGATACCAGGGGTTCTGGCTAGGGAGCCGGGCCTTACAGTAGTTATTTACGGAGCTGCACAGCAGTTCATGGGTACTGTAGGTGTGCATTTGGTCTAATTATTAATAGTGCTTCTGTTCACTCTCAACGGTGCCCCAGTTAGGACGATAAAATACCTCATCACCATTATGCATGAGGAGCCTTGGAACATGGTCAGAACTGTTTTACTCATACAAATTTGCAGAGGCCTTTAAAGCAAGCCTCTTGCCCCTTTCTTATTGAATGCTGGCCTCTGCTAGATGCTGCAGATAACAAAAGATAAAAGATGTCGTGCTGTTCCGTGTGGACAGGAGCTGGCTATTTAAAGTGCAGTGGAGGACCCAAATAAGTACCTTCTCGTGAGCAGGGAAGAGATCAAAGGTGACAGCCACTGCTCTGGATGACGAATATAGAATTATCCTCAGGTCCACCATATAGCATGCCTGCAGAGATAAGCCATGGTGACCAGTCACATCAAGACACGCAGTCTTAGGCCTAGATAACTGACTTGCCAGGTTTGTAATATTAGCTTAATAGTGGGTTGCCTGCTGCTGGTAGAGTGGTGTTTTGGCGGCTGGAAAGCACTGCCTTCCAGTGAAGCTTTGAAAGAACCGTCCCATGCCCTGCCAACTGTCCAAGACAACTGACAGCAGATCCGACATCTCCATGTAGACACAGTTCCAAACCTCACTTTAAAACGCTTATCATAGACGGGGCCGAAAGCAGTCACCACAGTGGTCCAGGAGAGCAGGAGCAGTATGCCCTGTTGGACATGGGCAGAGCCAGGGGCTGCGCCAAGCCGCCTACGCGGGCAGCCGACTCAGCTGCCATCTCCAGGTTAACGACCGAACGCCCGCCCCCAAGGCTCAGCTCGGAGGGCGGCCTGGGGACAACGGTCCCCTTCCTGCAAGGGCACGGCGCCCAGCAGTGGGCAGCGGCCAGAGAACCCGAGTTCCAGCAAGCGCGCACCCGCCGTGGGAGCCACAGCAGTTCGGCCGGCTCCCTCCACAGGCAGAGAAGGGATTTACCCCACCGACCCGATCCAGGCTCCCCGGCCCCACTCACCGGCTCGCTGGGCGGAGGCCCGCGCGCAGTCGCCCCGAACGGGCAGCTAGGGCTGGAGGAGGCTGCAAGGGCTCACGGTGCGCACGCCGCCCGGGCCCTGTGTACACACGTGACCGCTGGCCCTGCCCACCCCAACCTGGCTCCACCCCCCGCCCCGGCTCCGCCCCCAGCCCCCCTCGAGCCTCGGTCCCGCCCCCGGCTCCGCCCCCCAACCGCAAGGCCCGGCAGCGGGGAAGCCTTGGACCAGTGCGGTTGGGGGGCGGTGGCGGTGGAGGCGGTGCTGGTTGTGTAACCTGAGACCAGCCATTTGACAAGCTCGTGCGCCTGAGCTTCCCTGGGGGAGGACGCACACCCAGCGCTCTTGAGTTTTTGAGAATTCTGGTAATGCCCAATCTGGTTTCTTTTTACAGGCGCTCGTGCCTAGTTTGCTGAGTCAGAATAGACCCTAATCTGCAGGGTGCAGGCCCCCCCGCCCTCCAGAGCAAGTCAGTGGCTGCCATCTAGGCCTCAGGGGTACACCTGCCCCTGTCTTCCCCGAAGTTTGCTCTCTGCTTCCAAATTCAATTACTTCCTGGTTTTAGGAATTTCTTTGTAAACGGAACACTCACAGGAAAGCCATTTAAAGAAACAACATTGTTTGCTGCCTGATTACTTTGGTAGCTATTGTTACAAGTTAAACACTGGAAAAGTTGAAACAAGGACATTGACTCTGCTGTAATTTTTGAGGTGAAACGCCACCCCCCCCCCACGGCCACACACACACACACACACACACACACACACACATATATTCTGGTTCAGGATCTAAGAACGTTTCTGAAAATCGAAGCATGTGAGTTGCACAGCTCAGCATAGACTTGCAAGGTGACGCCGCGGGCTGAGTGGGACACCAGCAGAACTGCAGCCAGTGCTGACCCTCCCTGAAAGGTGCTGTGGCCCACTGTTCAAGGCTGCACTTCAGCCACCTGCCTTGGCAGGATGGCTTCCTGACTGTGGCTGGGAGCGGGATGTTGGAGGCAGCTTTCTATTCTGGTGGGAGGGCAGGGAGAGCCTCACTCTATCTTGGTCATGAGTTGACAGACCCCTTTGGGCCCACCACGGCCCACACCTGCTGACGTGACACTGACTTGCTGCCCGGCGTGGCACCAGGTCTCTGTGCTCAGGTACCAGGTACTGATCTTACCTGCCAGAGTCAGTCATGATCAGCCAACACCAACACCCGAGGGCGTATTCTGTGTCAAGCTCTGTTCTAAGTCTCAACCGTCGTTTTGAGGTACATACGTCAGTATTTCATCGAACTTAAGACATGATTAGTGCTCGATAGGCCATTACTTGATGGATTCCTAAAAAGAAGGCCATCTGCTGGTTACATTCTGACACAGTGCTGATTTTAAGGCGCAGCCTGTTAGAGATGATAAAATGAGAGAGTGCTCCTGCATCAATGAGATAGGTCGCCATGTGCATTTCACATTTTATTGTGAAAAGGTAAGCAACTTGCCCCAGGTCACACCGCAGGCCTTGGAGCCGGGATTTGCACCCAGGGGTACTCTGGCTTTTTAGATCAGGGTTTGGGACTTTGGGCCCTCCTAGCAACTTGCCTAAAAGTAAGCTTTGTTATCTCCATGGTATAAATGGCCCAAGACCTCAGAATCCCTGGTCAGAGTCTGTGCAGCCTTTTGGGTCCCTGCCAGGTTCCATGGTTGCTCTGTGGCTGGGGACTGCTGGAGATTAGCTTCCTCTATGCTACTGAACTCTCAGGCCACCGCAGACTGCCTTATCTGCAGGGACTTCCCGACCAAGCAGGCCAGCCTCATCAGAGAGAATGGTGAAAAGCTCATGTGTGTCCTGGGGAGATCATCAGAGCCACCCTCCACCTGAACCACAATAAATTCTCACAGCTGGGGGTGTAAATGCCGTCCAGAGGCTGCAGCTGTGTACTCAAGGGTCCCAGCCAGCCCCTGTACAAGACTCAGTTGATGGGGGGAGGGAGGGATGGGAGGCACAGATAGGGGTGTAGGAGGTGTGTGGCCCTGACTCAGCATCCCGGCTGCATCCTAGTCTAGTGTTGATGTTTGATGTCACGTGGATGTGGCATCCCCTGCATGACTGGTGAGGGCATTTGAGGGCAGTTGTGTGGTCCTGGCCTGGGGCTGTGCTTTTGTGGCTGTGTGTGCTGTGTGTGTGTGTGTTTTGGGGGAGTTGGGGGGGGTGTCCTAGTTGTGCACCACACTCTGCAGCCCACCGTGCTGCCGACGCTCCTGTGATGCAGCTGCATGTCTTACGGAGACGTTGGGACCACCTTTCCCCTGCCACATTCAGGCGGGTGGGTAGCTTTCTTGGTTATTCTGAGTGGCGGTCGGGAAGGTCAGCTGCATGGCACCCAGGGATCCAGGGCTGCTGGTCAGGAGCTGGAGAGATCTCACCTGGCCTGGGTCTGTTTGCATTTGGGCTTTCCCAGGGTGGACGGGGGTGGTGGGAAAGGCAAACTGGCATTCCCCTTGGAGATGTACCTTCTCTAGTGATTGTTTGCAGAGTGAGTCTGATCCTGTGTGCCACGCTGATCAAGAACAAGGAATTATTATTATTGAGATGGAATGTCTAGCTCTGTCGCCCACGCTGGAGTGCAGTGGCGTGATCTTGGCTCACTGCAACCCTGGCCTCCCGGGTTCAAGCGATTCTCCTGTCTCAGGCTCCCAAGTAGCTGGGACTACAGGCGCCTGCCACCATGCAGGCTAATTTTTGTATTTTTAGTAGAGACAAGGTTTCACCATATTGGCCAGGCTAGCCTTGAACTCCTGACCTTGTGATCCACCCGCCTTGGCCTCCCAAAGTGCTGGGATTACAGGCATGAGCCACTGTACCCAGCCGACAAAGAATATTTTACAATTAACTTCCTAGTTCTTGTGAGTGTGGCTTGTGACCTTGTGTGTGGCCTGTTGATTATAAGGCATTAGAGATGATGAAATGAGAGAGTGAGCCTTAGCATAAGTGAGTCTACACTCTGTGAATGTATTAATAAAACCTGGTGTTGTTCAGAGCCCCAGTAACATCAGTAAGGAATTGTGGATGGCCTGAACAGAACCCAGATCTTCCCTGGAGTGTGGCCACCACTTTGCTGTGCAGGGGTCTCCCTCCCTCCCCTGCACTCTCTCCAGTCCTTCCCAAATTCCATCCACACGGCTTCCCGCCTGGACCTTTTCCACATTCTGCAGAAGCAGCTGTTCCCATAAGGAAAGTGGGAGATGCCCAGGATGGGTCCTCAGCGTATGGCCCAGCGTTCCAACCTCAGGTTGATCCCAAGTGGCACTGTCCACTGGAGACCTGGCAAGTAGCAGCCACTCATGCATAGAGCGCGGTTGCAGCCGGCACGTCTGCCATTGCTCATCCTCTCAGCCCTGCTCCAAGCTGCGCCTTCTCGATGTTTACGTGTTCTAGACGAAAGACTTTTGTGCGTGTGTGGTTTGTAAATATTTTGTCTTCGTCCGTAGCTTATCTTTTACATCCTCTTAATGAGGGTTTTGCAGAGAAAAGTTTTTTTTTTTTCTTTTTAATTTTGGTGAAGTCTGATTTATCGATTTTTTATTTTCCTTTTTCATTTTAAGGATCTGCTTTTAGTTTCACGGCTAAGAATTCCTCAATGACTCCCAGGTCCCAAAGATTTTCTCCGTTTTCTTATTAAAGCTTTATAGTTTTACATTTGATATTTGAATGGAAGATCCATTTGAGTTCATTGTGAGGTTTAGGTTGTTTTGTTTTGCAGAATGGAGTGCATTGGTGCAGTCATAGCTCTCTGTAGCCTTAAACTCTGAGGCTCAAGCAATCCTCACTCCTCAGCCTCCTGGGTAGCTGGGAGTACCGGTGCGAGCCACCATGCTTGTCTAATGTTTAAAGTTGTTTTTGCAGAGATGCGGGTCTCACTATGTTGCCCAGACTGGTCTCGAACTCCTGGCCTCAAGCAATCCTGCCACCTCAGCCTCCCAACAGCTGGGAATATAAGTGTGTGCTACCATACCCAGCCTGTTTTTTTTTTTTTTTTTTTTTTTTTTTTTTTTAGAGCACTATTCGGTTCACAGCAAAATTGAGCAGATGATGGAGTTTGCATGCACACACCCCGACACGCATGCACAGCCTCCCCCAATATCAATACCCTCCACCCCGAGTGGTGCATTTGTTACGATGGTGACCTTCACGCCGCATCATGATCACCCAAAGTCTGCAGTTTACAAGAGGGTCCCCTTGGTGTAGCATGCTGTGTGGGTTTTGATAAATGAATATCCCCTGTGCACCCACCGTTACAGCACCACACACAGCAGCTTCGTTGCCCCAAGAGGGCCCTCTGTGCCATCCATTCATTCGTCCCTCCTGACCACACTGACCACCACTCACCCCTTTCCTGTCTCCATGTGGCTACGTGTTGCAGAATGTCAGGCGGTGGGATCCCACAATGTGCCTGTTCGGCCGGCGCCTTTCACTTAGCAGTTTACTGTTACTTTCTCGTGTCTTTTCACGGCATGCCAGAACCTTTCTTTTTAGTGCTGAGTAATATCCCAGTGTCTGGACAGACTACGGTTAGCCACTCACCTACTGAACAGCATCGTGGTCGCTTCCGGTCTGGGGCAGTTATGAATAAAGCTGCTCAAAATATCTCTGTGCAGGTTTTTGTGTGAACCTAAGTTTTCAGCTCATGCGTAAATGCCAAAGGGCACATCTGCTGAATCCCGTGGCAGGATTTTGCCTACTTTTGTAAGAAGCCACTAACTGACTTCCAAAGTGGCTGTGCCATTTTGTCGTCACTTCCCACAGTGGTGAGTGAATCCCTGTTGCTCCACATCCTTGCCTACGTTTGGTGATGTCAGTGTCTGGATTTGGGCCATTGTGACAGGTGTGTGGTGCCACCTCACTGCTGTTTTCATTGACACTCCCTTGCGTCGAAGGATGTGCCATTCTGGTCCCCATGCCTATTTGCCATCTGTAAATCTTCTTTGGTTCAAGGTTTATTGTTTTCCTGTAGATGTCCCATTATTCCAGCACCATTTGTTGAAAAGATTTCTGTCTCCATGGAATTGCCTTTACAAACTTTGCCAGAAATCAGATTGTTCCCTTACTGGGTTTATACC